ATCAATGAAATAAATTCCAAAAGAAGTATGTAGTAAATGGTCAAAATTTGTGTCCAAAATAGTTAAAGCATATCTTTTTTCCCTACCATCCAGTTCGGTATATACATCCAATTGAGAAGAACTGGCAAGAAACTCAATTGAATTACTTTTTTTTTTTAATCCAGTTCATTTACAATGCATAGGTATTTATATAGGTGTCTATGTCTAACATTAAATGAAAATCTCGAACATGAAAACTATTGCAATGCACGCTCGTCATTCAAGTAATCATTTAGTGAGTAATATGATTTAACAGAAACAACATTATTAAATTTTATTCTAAGAAATTCAGCGATATTCAAGTGTATCGTATTTCCGCATATTGGGACAAGTCACTAGTAAGCAGTAGGTCTACCACGAAAGTTACTGCCGATTATCGCGTAACGAAACGAAAGACGACCGAAATACTAGTTTAAAGGAACCATGAAGTTTCTTCGGAATAAGATATTTCGGACGGGTACCATAGACTATGATCGTGAACGAATGAAAGATGAGAAGTCTTTTATTATACACTCTTAAATTAGGAAAAAAATAAAGTGGTATACTCCGGATAAAATAAAATGTACAGTCGTTTATATTTAAATGTATTGAAATTATAAACTTCTAAAATTAGTAGTATTTTATGTCATAAGAAAACGTCAAACCTCTATTTACATTTGAATTTTTGTTTTTATTTTTTTATATATAAACTTAAGAATTATCATCACAAGTGTTTTTAAATAATTTTTTATTGCTAAATTTGTTCGTTAAACATCAATGAAAATGAACATCTAATAACTTTGATTTTATTTATTAGTTTCTATTTATGACAAGCGCTAACAAATGTATTTATGCATTTAGATGAGTAATCCCACTGTGGAACAAGTGCATACACTCCTAACATTCCTAGCAGAGCACCAGGAGTTAGCTCGTGGCCACTGTAGAAATGCAGAAGGGCGAACAAGATCCACCCAATTATGGGTTCGTCTTACAGACGAACTCAATGCATTGGGTGGATGCACTAAAACTGTAAAGCAGTGGCAGAAGGTAAGCACTTTTCTTGATATTTTAGTACGTGATATGCATTTAAAATGTTAAATAATTTTGTTATTAAATAAAATTTTCCAATACTGATACTTTATAAATTTTAGGTATGGGCTGACAAAAAATATCTAACTAAAAAAGCTGCTACTGCTGCTCGAAGGTCTGCCACAGCCACTGGGGTAGGGCCATCATCTGCTGAGCCTTTAAACCCAATACAGTGCAGAATATTGGGTATTATGGGAGAGGGCTTTGGAGAACCTCAGTCGGATGCACATGTTCCTGCATTTCCAGAGGTATGTTGTAAAACCATTACTAAAATAGTGCTAACTGTTATCTCTAGACATATATAACATAATGGATGTCATCAAAATACATGGTGACTTCCATAGTATTCCTCATGCATTACCATTCCTTTTATTTCTGTATATAAGGTACCTAAATAGCCTTTTCCCACCTTTCAAACTGAAATACAGCTATGCAAGAACAGCTGCTTCATAGCAGAAATATGAGTTGAGACAGAGTTGGTACCTTTTTATATATACACAGTTTTTCAATGTTAACTAAGAAGTAAAGATAAGACAGTACTAATAAATAACACTTACTTATACCTTATTATTGATTAAAAAATTTATATCATAATAAATTATTGTTATATGAAAATATTTCTGTAAATATTAAGATTATTAGTAATGGGGGCTTATAGTCCTAATCACTAGTATATTCCTAGACATCAAGTCTGGTATTAGTACCAATCATGCATACCGAAAACAATAATGATAATAATTATTTTAAAAAAAACTTTTTAGAACTTCAACGGCTACTACACGTCCAGAGCGACGACGCCGTCGAGCAGACGCCATTGGACCTCGCAGTGTACGCAGGCGTTTGTTCGAAATGGAGGAGCGGCGAATCGCAGCGGAGGATCGACGGGTGGTAGAGTCAGGGCTGATTCGCCAATCACTCCAGGAATTAAATGTATTAATAAGGGATCGATTGGATGGTCTACAAATAGAATTAAGACGACTGAATAGATGAAATTTTGTTTTTTTTTTTAAATTTGACATGATTAATGTAGATTTGTATTAGTTTGTTGATTTGTTAAATAATGAGTATAAAAAAAGTTACTTAGCTTTAGATATATCATTGTTGATTTGTTGAATTCTGTTAGTTTGTTGATTTGTTAAATAATGAGTATAAAAAAGTTACTTAGCTTTATATATATAATTGTTGATTTGTTGAATTATGTTAGTTTGTTGATTTGTTAAATAATGAGTATAAAAATGTTACTTAGCTTTATATAAGTATTAACAAAGACACAAAGTACCAAACTACAGTTTTTTACTGGTCATTAATTTAATGCGCCTTGAACTACACTACTTAGTTTGCATATACTTATACAACATTTTTCTGAATGAATGTTTAATCATTTATAATTAGTGTTATTTTAAAAAATGTTTAATATACAATTTTGATTTTACTTTTATCTACATATATGTGATTATAAAATAAAAATATTTTATTGTAAAAAGTTTTTAATTTTGTAAATAAGTAATGCCTTAACTTCTAATAGAATAGAATAGAAAATCATTTATTCAAATAAACTTATTATATTGCTGTCATCTATGAATTCATCTATCCTATAATAGGCTTTTTTACATAACATTTGTTTAATATCAATTTTAACAGCATTTAGGTAAAATTAGTATATTTTTATTGCATAAGTTTCTACTTGTACAGTCTTTAAGTTTCTTGAAACTATCTAAGTTTTTCCTTGTATACATAATATTTCATAAATGTACTGTGAGGCAACGGTGAGGATATTTGATTCTTTAAAGCCTTGATATAATGACTATCTCGAACCCATACCATAAATAGAACGTATGGCTCTCTTCTAATCTTTATATACCTGAAAGAAAAGAAAACATACTTAACTGTGAGACTTGGAATTTGATAAATGCACTTGATAGCTTATAGACTATTCAATATAATATCAGCTAATAATATTTAACATAAAAAATACTGAAATACAATCTATAATCATCTTTTATGACATCCTAATAATGAAAAGGAATGACAAAACATTGTATTCTTGTTTGTTCACCAATTTTATATGTAGTACAACTACAAAGTTAAGAATTACGATTTATTTACCCAGCAAATAAGTTGTTTCTCCTTGAAGACTCTCCAAATGATCTTTGATCTCGTTATGCTCCCAAATGAATGCATCATGAGTGGCACCACCATAAGAGGCGTCAATATTCATAATTTTTAAATTACTGTCAGCAATCTAAAAAATAGGACAAACATTATAAAGATATTTGCAGATAGTGACAAATATGAATAACTTGAGAATTATTTATACACTATGCAAATTTTACATAAAATACTGTACTTACAACTTGAACATTTAAAGAGTGGTAATGTTTTCTATTGAAAAATCTCTTCATTGACTGTTGGCCGAATTATAGCTACATGGGTGCTGTCGATACATCCTATAACACCAGGGATACCATACTGTGTAGCAAAACTGAAAAAGAAATATAAACTACTGATTATTTAAACATCAATTAACTTATGCTGATTCCTGAAATTAACAACAATATCATTTATAAATTTACAGCTACAAATAGTTGACTGAACTAAATTAATAGTATATGTATTATAAATCGACAAAGAGCATAAAATTCTATAAAGTTAAATCTTAATCATATTTAATATACATAAACTTACTTTCTCTTCAATATGTTCCTGTCTTCCCTGGACTGAGGAAATCTTATATATTTCCTTAGTATATAGGGTGTATTTAGGGCATCTGTTACATCCCTGATGCAGTTTAAGACAGACTGCTGAGCCATAGTGGTGTCTAAATTTTGTCCGACTGCACCCTGGTAGCTACCACTGGCATAAAAATTTAATGCAGTGAGAATCTGAAAAAAAAATAGATATGGGAATACTAAATAATAGGTAAATACTAAATTTTTTCATCTACAAAATGTACATAAGATCTTACTTTGGTTATTGGATCGATTGCTCAACTATTTTTAGGCAGGGGTAATAATCGTACCACATACTGACAAAGATTCTCGAAGACTTCCCGACTGAGTCTGTATTTAGATACAAACTCGAAGTCGGGAATGGATCTTTGGAGGTACCTAGTATGCATTTTTCTTTTAAACCTGCGTCTTTCAATTTCTTCTTCATTGAGGGCTTCTAAAATTCCAGCCAATCTTGGCATAATGAAACTAAATCAAAATAAAGTAATGCTAAGTTGTAGGTTATATTGAACACAATAATATTTAAAAACACTAATTAGTTTAACTTTTATCACATTATTCACTGTAACACATTAACTGAATTATTAATTAATCACTTTTTTATATATTACAGCACTTATATACGTAAAATCCATACTTACGAAAGTAAAAAGTTAACTATTTAGGTTTCGTCTACTTCGCACTTTAAATCACGATAAACGTGCTGTCAAAACGTCATAATAACGTACGAACGGACACTTCATGGTACGATTTGGGACGATCGAAACGATATTCTCCGTTTTCGGGCACGATTTCGGAATGAACGTTTTTCATGGTACGAATCACACGAAATATCGATCCGAAATTTCGGAATTGCACTTCGTGGTAGACCTACAGAGCTCCGCTTACTAGTGACTGAATATTGTTGGCAAGACTGCTGAGCTGGCAATCTGTACGAAAGAGATAGAATCCCCTCCTGTGAAATTTCATACATAGATTCGTTTCGTAATTTTTAAACGTAATGAAAAATAAACTTTAATATATTGATTTTAGAATCAAAGTCCTGCGCCTTCCAGTGCAGTTGCACATAAATCGTTGTACGCAACGTTCGGACTGTGGCTGTGCGTCTCGTAATGTTTTCTTTATTTTCAATTAATCTGTAGTCACACACACAGTGGTCTCTTGTTATGGAATACTTGTTTTTAATCAATTCATTATTACTGATTATTTTTGATTACGTAGATACAAAAGAGTGTGTTTTCAGTTAACAGTGTTTATTGTGGATTGTAAGCATCACATTAAAAACACGATGTGCACAAACAAATAACAAGGAAATATACTAAATACTAAATTGTCTTACCTCTTATGGAAGCTGCAATGTTATTTTCGGCCACGCTAATTTTATTGCTATGTGGTACCAATGCAGAATACACTGTAAAATGCAACAATGGAACTCAAAAGAGCTTAACCCTTGAGCGTTCGGACGATGATGTGAAGAGTCGTTACATTGTCCAATGGTGCACCGCTGTGGATACTGTAGAATCCGAGTGGAATGTCGCCCTGTCGTATAACACCAATTTGAACAAAGTCAAATGCAGTACTACTGCATTTGACTTTGTTCAAATAGCTAGACGCTGGAACAAGCATTCTGAGATCCGTGTACCTTTTCATGGAAAAGAAATTAATTGCACAAATGTAAGTACTTTTTACTTTGCTTAAAGTGATCCAGTAATTATGTAAAGTCGTCTGTGGATACCTCTGTATCTATTTCAGTCGCCAAGCAGCTAGATTTGTAATATCTGTTTTGGTTGAAATGTGAGAAAAGTCAGTGAAATTACATTATATGTGGATATGGCATCTTAATTCTCCAGAATGCAAGTGAGTGGTGTCAAGGTCATGTGATTACATCCATGGTTCTGTTCATGTATGTACAAGCATTTGTTACCACTCACCATCATGGAGGCTGTCAACTTTTTTGGTATTCTATTCACATAGAAAATATCTTGATATGATAAAATTATTATTAAAGGTTTTTCATGAATTAATGCTTAACAAATGTACATTGTAATAAAAATGTTTAAGTTAACATAATAGCTTATAAGAAGCGGGCTGTACAATCTTGTCTGCATCGGCACTTCTATATCACCTTTTTTGGCGCCAATTAGCTATATCTATTTAAGGAGGTATGTTTTCATACAATAACCATATGCAGCTGTTATTGTGTGAAGACTTATCTCCTTATTCATAAAAATATATACCTATTAAGTATTTAAATTAGTAGTTATGTCATCATTTTAATTAATAAAATATAAAATACTATTTTACTAGCAAAAACTTTGTTTACATCACATTAATATAGCCTCTGTGTTATTTTGAGGATAGTATCACTGTAATGTTTCATCAAAATTGGTTCAGTAGTTTTTGCATGACAGTGTAACAAATATCTACCCTTACATCCATACTCAAAAACTTTCATATTTATAATATAAATAAGATTGGAGGGGAGGGGATTGTTAGTAATGGGAACTAGTAATTCCCATTACTAACAATGTACTATGTTAGTTCAACCTCCATGTGGTTCCTCCTGGAAACCATTGTGATAAATTCCTAGTGAATTTGTCAGGATGGGCTAACTGACCTGACCTTCATATTCATCTTATCATCCTCCACTGGTGCTCCGTCAGCGTAAACCGTTAGCGCAGGCGGGTGCACCATTTCATTATCATAAAAAAAAAAAAAAAAATATATGTGACACCCCTGGTGTTTCAGGCATCCATAGGCTATGGTAACTGTTTACCATCAGATAGGCCGTTTGCTTATACCATGTAGGTGGCACTACATGGTATAAAAAAAAAGATTAAGAAATATGATAATAGTTTTATCATATTTCTTAATCTTTTTTTTTATTAAGTATTTTAATTAATTTCATATTTAGTAAGTTAATTAATTTCATTAATTTTTTTCTCCGAGTACATTTGCGATCAGTCCCAGGACTATAAGCGAATATGTTCTGTGATGCTATCATGTAGAGCGGCTTCCCATTGGAAACCTTACTCATCTGCATCCCAGAGCTACTGCCGATCTTCTAGCTCCAGGATATGATGGCGTTTTAGTCGTCTCACATGCTGTACTATGGTGAGTTGTCGAGCAAGTTTGTTGGGGTGATGAATCAACCGTTCTTTATATTTGGCTGCCAAATTCCGAATTTCCTCCTTCACTGTTCTTATTTGAAGGTGATCATGGACTTCAGTGTTGGTTATGTACCATGGTATTTGTGCAATGGTTCTTAAGATTTTGTTTTGTTGGCGCTGGAGAATATTTATGTTGGTATCACTTGCGCTGCCCCATAGTTGCAGACCATATGTCCAAACAGGTTTCAAAATAACTTTATAGATAAGGAGTTTGTTGTCCATGGACAGTCTAGAGTTCCTTCCTAGCATCCAATATAGACTATTGTACTTTAGCTGTAGCTCTTGCTTTTTGCGATTGATGTGATATCTCCAGGTTAGTCTACGATCAATGTGGAAGCCAAGGTATCTTACATGGTCACTGTGAGGTAGAGTAGATTGGCCTAACATAACAGGTGGGCAGTCTTCTTTTTTGAGAGTGAATGTCACCTGGACAGACTTTGCAGCGCTAACCCTTATTTTCCATTTTTGGAGCCATTCATTCAACTTATTGAGGCCTTTCTGGAGGTTCTCCGATGCCAGTCTGGGATCTTTATTACTTGCCAGTATGGCGGTATCGTCTGCAAATGTAGCCGTGATTGTCCCAGGAGTAAGTGGTAGATCAGCAGTGTACAAAGTATAGAGCATTGGCCCAAGAACAGATCCTTGTGGTACCCCAGCATTGAGTTCTTTAAAATTAGAAGTGGCGTCACCTTCTTTCACATAAAATATTCGATCTTCTAGGTAAGATTTTAATAATGAGAAGTATGAGTGGGAAATACTCTGCTTGATCTTACATAGCAGGCCTTTGTGCCAGACCTTGTGAAACGCCTGCTGGATATCTAAGAACGCTGACGAACAGTATTCTCTTTGTTCAAGAGATGTTCTTATGGCGTCGCATACTCTGTGGGCTTGTTCTACTGTGCCATGCCGCTCTCTGAAGCCAAATTGGTGGTCTGGTATCACTTTGCCTTCTAAGAGGCTTGGCATAATTCTCCGTAGTAACATTTTCTCCAGTATCTTGGATAGTGTAGGTAACAGGCTGATAGGTCGGTATGATGTTTTGTCAGTTACTGGTTTTCCGGCCTTATAAATCATGATTACCTCCGAGACCTTCCACGCGCTTGGGAAATACCCTATTCGCAGCATAGAGTTAAAGATGGTAGTAATAAAAACAATAGCTTTTCTCGGTAGTTCTGATAGCACTTCTTTAGTGATGAGGTCGTATCCTGGTGCCTTTTTACTGTCTAGCCGGCTGATGGTTTTTATGACCTCGGCGGGCGATATAGGTCTAGGGGGCAAGTCCAATTGAAGGTCTTGTTTCAGGATTGCGTCAACGTATTCTTCTGAAGTGTTGTCTGATGTTTCATTTGGTTTAAAGACGCTTGTTAGATGGTCTGCAAATAAATCCGCTTTATCTTGGCTTGTTCTGGCCCAGTCTACGTCCTTTTTTATTGGGAATTTTGGTACGTTAGGTCTGTCGCAGCATCGGGTGGCCTTCCAGAGCGAATAGTTTGTAGCTTTAGTGGCAGTTAGAGACTCCAACTTTGCTTGCAGTGTAAGATCATTGACATTCTTTATGGCTTCCTTTAATTCAACGATGGCTTTGTTAAGGATGGCCTTATCTTGTGGATGACGGCTCAGCTGCCAATTTCTTCGTAGTCTGCGTTTCTCTTGAATCATGATCTTTATATCCAATTGCACATTAGTAGGTTGATACCTACGTTCGGTAGAAGGTGTGCATTTCCATGCAGCGACTTGGATGAGATTGGTAAATTGTATTACTGCTGATTCAATTTCCTCCGCTTCTTTGAGTCTAACATTTACATTGAGGTGTTCTTCTATGTATTCTCTGAAGGAGGACCAATCAGTACATTGATTGTACAATCTTGCAGGTGTCTCAAATTCAATAATAGTTGAGCTGATGGTTAGTAAGACCGGAGTATGGTCAGATGATCCATCAATACACGACTCAACTTTCATGTATTCTTTGGAGAGTCCTTTTTTTGTGAAAAAGTCGAGTATGTCCGGGATCCGATTGTGATCAACAGGCCAGTAGGTTGGTTCTAGTGGTAAAATTGAGCTTAGCTTATTTTTGTCCATACACAGCTTTAATTGTCTCCCTCTAGTCGTTATTAGTCTGGAGCCCCAATGAACATGTTTAGAGTTCCAATCACCTCCTGCTATAAAACGATTTCCTAGACTTGAGAAGAAGCGAGAGAACAAGTCGGTGTCCATACGATGTTTTGGTGGACAGTATACAGCAGAGACATTAAGGTATCCACATCTGTCCTATATTGCGACTGTAGTAGCCTGGATCTGTTCAGTTTTATATTCAGGTAGTAGATCATGCTTTATAGTATTCCGAATAATTATAGCTGATCCTGCATGTCCCGTACCATCTGGGTGGTTTGTAGTATATATCTGGAAACCTTTGATTTTGACGTTAGTTTTGTCTGTGCAGTGTGCTTCAGATATTAGGACAGCATCTAGTTTGTGCTCGGCCATTAGTATCTCGAGCTCATCTTTATTTGGTGAAAGTCCGTTTATGTTCCAAGTCGCTAATCTTAGTCCAAGGCCTGTTACCCTTGTAGTTTGGTTATGAGTGTGGTCATGAGACTCATTAGAGTACCCATTTGTTGTAAGATTAAGTCGAATTTCTCGTTTTGTTTGGTGAGTAAAGTTTCTAGTACAGTTAGGTTTTTGTTTACATTAGGTGTGCTATTTTCTTTGGTCGCTGAAATCGGTTTCTGTTTATCTGATACGTTTCTAGTAGCTTGGGCGTAGGAGAGTGGTTCATTTTCTTTCTGCGTAGATGAAGATTGTTGGGCAGTATTTTTACAAGAATTTTGATCTTGGATCGCGAGACTTCTAACAGCTCTTCTGTGACCGTACTTGTTAGTTTTTCTGGCAAGTATTTCCTTGTACACCTCACAACCTTTGTAGTTTGCGGGATGGGACCCTTGGCACAGCGCACATTCGGCTGGTGTGTTTCTATCGCGTTTTGGACAGTCTGAGGTTTTATGCGCCTGTGCACATTTTACACAACGGTAAGGTCTCATGCAGTAATTCTTTGTGTGCTCATATTGCTGGCATCGTTGACACTGTACAATTGAACTTTTCTTCCTGGGATCCTCAATGATTACAGACTGGTGGTAGATATACTTGATTTCTTTAGCGGCTTTGTTGTTTACACTAGGCAAGAGATTCACAAAGAATGTTGACGTAGGTTTCTTCTCTGGACCATATCTGGAGTTAATGATTTCCCCAACAAAACTGTTTCCAGTTTTTTCAATTTCTTCCTTTATCTCACTTTTGGGTGTTGTGTGATGAAGATTCCGAATGACAATACGACAGAGCCGTTCTTCCTTTTTGTTAAATGTATGACCAATTAGACCATTTTCACGAAATTTACTGATGATTTTTTTGTAAGCTTCCATATCCAGGGTGTTAATTCTTAGTTGGTTTCTGTTTGAAATCCGATATGTGAATGCATTTTTATTAGCAACAGATTCCACGAGTTCAGTTAATTTATTGACATCTTCTATACCATACAGTATTATCGGAGGAGGCTTGCTAGATTTTGTTTTTGCGGGTTTCTCAATTGTAATGGGTTCTTCTGTTAAGTCGATTGGTAATTGGCTGAACATGTTGCTGGTGGCTAAGCTCTCTGGGGAATCACTGATTTTTTTCCGTTTCAGATTTCTAGTACCTGGTACTCTTTGCCATGAAGGTGGGCCTCGAGGGCTTGGCGATTCTCTTGGTGGTTCTTCCACGGTGTGTGAACATTCTGGAGATTTGCTTCCCAAAGAATGACTTCTAGGTCTGGTGATAAACAGACTGCGGTGAAAGGCCTGCTGAATAAGTTTTTTGCTGCCAGTAGTATTCACTGTAATGGAAGCCTGGTCGCCTACTTCCATTAAGTCTTCGGTAACTAATTTCACACCCTCCGGCCCGGGTACCGGAGAGCGCCGGGGGTTAGCCGGATCGCATGACGTACAATTGCTCTCATTATTTGACATTTCCATTTAAGAGGGGGGTTGGGAGAAGACACTCATACTACTTTCCCAGGGTAGTATTGCAGCTATTTTTAGGGGCACAGCGGACCTAGGGGAGTTAAATCTCCCCTAGGTCCGCTGTTGCCCTAAACAGGTTAATTAACCGCCGCCTGCGGCTCGGCGTTGACGAATTTTACGGTTGACTTTGTTTTCGTCGTTCTCAACCGACCCTCCTCTTTTCTCATCCGGGCTTGGGACCGACAATGGCAGAGTTAAATTTCATGAATTAACTTACTTAATTTTACTTTTCTCTAGTGCATTTTTGTCCAATGATTATAGAATAGTTTACTATTATATGCTATTGATGTATGCTGCCATGTCACCAGTATGATGATAAAATGAGAAAAAATTCAACATCGGGTTGTGAACACTGATTAAATTTTTTGTTCTTTGCGATAGCATATGCTGGTGGTTACTATTCTCCCAAATTTGTATTTTAATGACTATGTATTATTATAAACATGTTCCACTATTAGTTGAAAAAAATATGAGCCGAGTTTCTAGTCAGTTCTTCTCATCTCAATGTCATTCCGAACTGACGGAGATTCGACATATCATAAGAGTCTGTAATAGACCTACATGAATAAAGATATGTATTTTGAATTGAATACAATTTAATAGTGAATTCATCAAAAATTCTCCATATTTGTTTCCATTGGAGCTATGTAATGATCATTTTGGTACATTGCTAGTAATGGGGCCTGTAGGTCCCATTACTTGCAATAGTCCACTCCAGTCACTCTAAAGCTACCTATAATATACTCAAATAGACTATACAAACATACTTATAGAATAAAGTTCCTGATAATATCAAACAATGTAATGTAAGGCATTTTAGGGCAAAGTTACATGAGTGGCTGATCATAAATAACTTCTACAGTATAACGGATTATTTTATTTTTATTATTATTATTATACATCTCATTTCTGTTAACAATGTTGCTAAATTGACTAAAGCAAGGGTTAATAATGCTTTACAGTTATAATTGTATATTTCTTCACAGGTTTGCTTTATGGCACCATTGGATCTGATATTCAGCAGTTGCTACTTCATAGAGAGCTCACTGCCAGCGATGAGCTCACAGAAAACTAATGCTCACCGTTACATATCAAATGAGTATACAATTGCTTCGTTCATAAACCGTAAAATTTATGCTGACGCCATATATCATGAGTGAGTATTGTTTTGGATATTCAATTTTCAATTTTCCTCTAAGCCGGTGTTTAGGGGGGGTACGTGTGGCTATCAGTAAAACAAACATACACACACTCTCACAAACTTTCATATTTATAATTTAGTGTGATTGCTATAATAAGGGGTATGCAAGGTCTGAGATCTAATTTGAATTTGAATTTATGGAGCCTATTAAAACATAGCTTTTTATATATCTGAATATTTATCAAAATTCTAAAAACTTTCATATTTAATCAACAGCCTTAAAAATAAGTTTCAAGCTTCTAGCTTAAAAATGAAGATACTTCCATACAACTTTTCTCTCCTTTCTACATCCTCGAACTCTTTTTTGATTTACTGAATATCCTATGTCCTTTCTCAGGCTCTAGTCTATCTGTGTATTCAATTTCATTTAAATCAGTTCAGTAGTTTTCACTTGAAACCGAGACAGACATACAGAGTTATTTTTGCATTTATAATATTAGTAAGGATATAATAAAAGGTAGCCATTGATAACATCTTTAAGTTTCTAGTATCAGTAATTGAGGATAATCTTTCTTAAATGAATCGGCTAAAATGTTCACTCTGCAAGGAATCTTATAATCCTTTTCATGCTGACATCGCCTTGACATATTGTGATGAGATATCTCAGAACAATTTACATAGCTCCATCTAGTTCCAAGCTAAACAGAGCTTGTGTTATGAATACTAGACAAATGGTATAAATACTTACATAACACACAGACTGATACAAACAATCATACACATGAACAGAAAAGTTTCCACTGTGCAAGGAATCAAACCTATGACCATTGGAAGCTAAGGGGTGTAAGCACTAGATTATAGAGACTATTGTTGTATATAACTGAACTTGAACTTATAGCCTACTCAAATCTCCTTTAGAAAGTTTACACTCTTTTCCGAGGAGATCAAAACCTTCGCTCTTAAATATCCTTCAATTCTTGTCCCTGACGGGTCTAGGTAGCGAACTATAAAAGATCTATGTAGGTCCTAGTGCTGCAGGTGCTACAGTCACCTGACAATAGCCCAAACAACCCAATAATAAAATAATAGCCTACCCCTACCAATCTGTTCCTCTAATAATCCAGTGCCTAACAACCCTCTCTCATTCGCATCATATGATAATAATGAAACATTTAGTCACTGTATTCTAAGAAATGTCTGAAACCTGGATTACAAAAACACAAAGACATATATCCATAGTTAAATATTTGTTTTGATATGTACATACAGTCTTTGTGTTATGAACAGGCCGGTTTTTCCTCCTGTGAATGGAGTACAACGTTGTCTATCATAATCTGACGATCATTACAACTCTATATGTGCCGTTGGTAAACATAATATGTTCAAGTCATTGTAATTTACCAATATGGAATATTACAATTATTATATACTAGCTGTGGCCGCTGTTTCAGCCGCGTGAAAATAGCCTATGTGTTATTCTGATGTATAAGCTATATTACTGTAAAGTTTCATCAAAATCCGTTGAGTAGTTTTTGCGTGAAAGTGTAACAAATATCCATACATGTAACATGTATATAAAATTAGTAAGATATAATTTGTTTGTATGTGTGTTTGTTAGTGACTATAAGACATTGCTTTTGTTTCGTTAAACACATTCTTACAAATAATGTTTTGTACTTATGTTAGTGGGCAATTAGAAGTGATAATATACTAAGCAAATACCAAGTTTAATTATTATTGGTTGAGCCATTAAAGTGCTGAACGATAACAGACAAACAAACATAATTTTAGCTCTATAATATTAATAACTACTAAGACCCATAGCATTTTAATGTAGATACCATGTCAGGACCACTTCTAAATGGTCCTTTATAGAAATTATTAATTAATTCAATATATATACGCTCTTGTCGGTATTTCCGCGATCTTCTATCATCTTTAATTCTTGATACGACATTATGATATCAAGAAATTATTAATATTAATATATATTTTTATTTTCATTCGGAAAGCTGTCTTATCACAAGAAGAACAAGCAATAAACTTGCGTGTTGCTCTTTTAAATAATCATTGCAACTTTTTTGTTTTTTAGTGGATGATAATGAAATGATGCACCCGCCTGCGCTAACGGTTTACGCTGGCGGGGCACCAGTGGAGGATGATAAGATGAGCATGAGGTCAGGTCAGTTAGCCCATCGTGATAAGTTCACCGGGAATTTATCACGATGGTTTCCAGGGGGAACCGCGTGGAGGTCAACCTGACATGGTACATTGTTAGCGAGGGGATCATCATCCCCCTCATTGCAACTTTACATTTCCAATTCGAAACGTACTAATACGAACCACCAACTAGCACTAATTTATTAGAGTCAGATATTAAATACACAATAAGATTAAATCAGTCATAATGATTAGAGCAGACCAGTCCCTACAAGCAGCACTCGTTCACTAGTATGACCTTTGAGCTAGCCATCACTGCGCTCGACCATATTTTAGGGAGCCCAATGACCCGGCCCACCACTCTAGACATTTTAGTGAGCATGACTACTCATTCCACTCTACCACCTCACAGTGATGGTTTATAAATATTATTTTCGTTTTTACAAATTCCTAGTTTACAATAATTAAACCATATATTAAGTAAGTAACCATATATTAAATACTTATTAGTACAGTGATATGCGCTCGACTAATAAATAGTGTAATTTCTTTTGTTCAACACGATTTTTTTATTCACAAAGGATATGTATAAATGATTTTTTTATGTAATTTCAGCAACATTGTTTCAATTCACTGGCGCTTAGGAAATATAACTGCAACAGATTATTTGATGGAGCTCTGCCACATCAACAACACGACAGCCAGTGGGGTAACTTATTTATATGTTTTCTTTGGCTAGTAAGCTAGCAATTTGCGGCGGTTTCGCGCGCCGTATAATATATCTACAAGTTTAAGTGAGGAACGCCGATGTAACTCACCAGGCGCAAGTTTTTTCCGTCATTTTCAATAATTATCGTCATTTATCAGAGAATTTCTACAGAACCTTAATTATACTAGCTTTTACCCGCGGCTTCGCTCGTATAACTTCATTACTGGCTGAAGTAGCAAATGTTGATATTCTAATTATAAAAAATGATTGTTATTTTTAATAAAAAGTATTCTATGTTCATTCTGATATCTCTAAGAACATGTGTACAAAATTTCATGATGATCGGTTCAGTAGTTTTTGCGTGAAAGTATAACAAACATCCCTACTTTGATATTTATAATATTACTAGCTACTCGCCCCAGGTTCGCCTGGGTGTGTACACCTGTATTATACATATAAAATTCCTCTTGAATCACTCTATCTGTTAAAAAAACCGCTTCAAAATCCGTTGCGTAGTTTTAAAGATTTAAGCATACATAGGGACGGACAGACAGCGACAGCGACTTAGTTTTATAAAAAGATTGTAATCCTTACTTCATTACATAATGTAATGAAGTAAGGATTACAATCTTTTTTCTGGTGGATTAAGGACAGACTTTTGCAGTTTGTTGTAAAACCTTAGCTATAAAAAATAATGTATAATAATTTTCAGGAAGGGGACGAGTGTATAACGATAAACAATAACTGCACCATCAGTGGTACCAGAAACAAAAATGGCATCATCTGCACACTTTGGGACCTGAACGGGCAGTACAAGATCCACCTGACTCATCTCACCCCGTGGAAGTCTGGCAGCGTGTTCATTAATCAGGCGTACTCACATTACAAGTTCTGTGAGTATTTTCTATTTTTTTTTATAGACTAGCTGTCCCGGCAAAAGTTGTGTTGCCTTATAAATAAATATTGCTATAAAAAAATAGGGGTTGATGGTAAATGGGTGAAAATTTAGGGTGTAGGTATGTATTTTTTAATGTCACAATTTAAAAAAAATTCAAAAAAGATAAAAAAAGAATCGAGTGAGCCACCCATAACACATAGGGGGTTGGTCTTTCTTTGCTTATTTTGGATGACATGGGGGGTGGGGCAGTCTAGATGATGATTACGTCATCGGTAGACGACGGCGAATTACGTACGTACGAATTTTTAATTTTTTTTATTAATTTTTACACGAATGGCAACCCTCACATTGTCTCTGCTAAACAAAACAGTACATTAATGAAAAGTGTTTACGTAAGCAATTGGGGAGGAGGTAAAAGCTTTACTTACTTTTACTGACAAGGGGGATGGGGGTAAATAATTGTAATCAGCTTAACACAAGCACAAGCTAGCTTAACTTTCCACCTTTTCAGTCCAAGCCTTTATTCTTTTTATTCCACCAGCTCCACGCTGAAATTGCGTTTTTTTTTTTAACTTTTATGGGTTTTTTCAGTGCTTATACCACGTTTCGTGGAAAGTGTGTCATGGTAAAATAACCCAACCTTTTTAAAAATTGTCTGCAAAAAGAAGTATTATGTAACACTATGTCGAGTGTCACTTGATAGTCGAGCTGGTGAACAAAATCAATGTCGAGTGACACTCACATTGGAAGGGTTCTCTTGTGTAAAGAACACTAATTATGATGGACGACTGAGGCTTTGAAGCCGGCTACCGCAAGGGAAACCCCAAGTAGCGCTTGTGACTTGTGACACGGGTGTAGGTTTAAAAGGCCCTTTTAGAATGCATTAACACTCACCTTCACTACTTGCACTTCCCCCCAGACCCAACTAAGACCGGGATAAACCCATTGCTAATACAATTCCCTTTAATATCCAAAACACAACCGGCACGCTCTGCGCTCGTCGACTGAATGCCGCGGCTCACGCAACGAAAGAGGTTTATTCAACTACCGACCTCCGTATTTATAGACCAAAGTCAGTGTAGTAGGTTGGTCTATAAATACTAGATGGCGCTATTTACAATATTCGTAATAATCTTTACATTGGGTATTTCATTAGTACTAAAAACAAACTACCTTGTTTTAATATATTTTTAAAATATCGGATTTTTTCTACAATAATGATGTGAATTCTAACACTTGGGACTAGGTGGCG